CCACCCACCCACCACCACACACACACACACAAACACACACGCACACAACCCCCACCAATTTCTTAAGTCTTTCATATATTGGTTACTCCCTTCAGATCATTGGATTGCTAGTAGGTATCCTTTTTCTCAAGTTATTTTGGAAATTAATCTTTCTAATCATTAAAATTGTCAGTAGGTCTCCCGATTTTTATAAATCGTTTAAATTAATCAATGTTGGCAGGTCAATTTGCAATTTGCAATGTAAAAATATCAACTAATCTAGTTAGTGTTTTGCTCATTATATCCAACAGTTTTATATGTTGATTTTTCAAAATTGATGATTTGAGAGAGTACTTTTGCAAATACTGAGATTTCGTAATAATTTTGCAAATACACATGATTTTAAAGGGCAAGCACAAAAAAACCCTAAACGGAAATAGCTGAAATGTATATAATTGGGATAACTTAAATGTTTGTGGGGACTATTCTCATAATGATGGATTGAAGATCAGTCTCAAAATACGTTAGTTTCTGGGGAGCAATACGTTAAACCTCTGCTGATTTAATGTTTTTCTGCCAAGTTGTTATAAATAAAAAGGAAATAAGAGGTCAATTTCAGGAGAACTCCCTTTTCCCATGAGCTAGAGATCTTATTAATTCTATGTAGAGCAACTTGGTCCAATTTCAAGAGTTACTACTTAACACCTCTATAAGGGCATCTCCAACCCAGCACTAAAATGGTGCAAACAGTGCTTTTTTGTTGCACTGTTCATTCTCCAACCCAGCCCCATTTTCTGCGCCATTTTGGTGCAGTTGAATAGTGCTGTACCAAATATAGCGTTGCACTGTTCATCCGCCCCATTACTGTTCATTTTTTTAAAAAAAATAAATATTTATTTTTATCTCTTAATTAATATAAAAATAGATAAAAAGAAATAAACTGAGAATATTCTTTTTTGATGCAAAAAATAATGCAATGGGTTGGAGATGTATTACTGTTTGATGTGACTTTTGTACCATTTTGATGCAAAATTTACACCATTTTGGTGCAATGGGTTGGAGATGGTCTAAACATAGTGCAGACTTGGTCCCAAAAGTAAAGAGTTACAGTAAAGCATCATCTTCCCTAGGCATGTCCATCCGGGCCGGGCAAAATCGGAGCCCGGACCCGGGTACCCCGGGTCGGGCCCGGGCCCGACCGGGCGGGGTTCCGGTTTATTTTCTTCTTTTTTAATTTATTATCAAAATTTTTAAATTTTATTTAAAATTTAAATTATAAAAAAATTAATAAAAACAATAATTTTATTAATCACTTAAAATAACATAAATTATAAATAAAAAATTATAAAAATAAATTCTTTATTAATAATTTATAAATCATTTGCAAATTACAAGTATAAATTTATTTTGGAATTCATCGCATCACAATAGATAAGTACATCCCAACTAGGTTTTTTAAATTTTTTTTTCTTTTTTTTTTGATAAAAAATGCTAAAATATAGTTTAATATTATTATATTTTATATAATTATGTATTAGTATATACTTATAAATTATTATGTAACTATATATTATATATACATATATTATATGTAAATATATAGTATATGTTTATAAGTTATAACTTGAGAGAGAGAATCGCATAAGTAGCCGTTGCCCGTTGGGCCAATGGGGAAGAAGTAGCCGTTGTAATATACTATACTTATATACTAAGAGAGAGAGTATACACACACACATATTATACATATATAAGAGAGAGTAAATACTTATATCATAGGGACGTATACTTATAATATACATATATACTAATGAGAAGTTATTGTATATATATATATTTTATTATATATATATATATATACATATATATATATATACATATATGAATATAAGTATATAATTAAGACGAAGGTGTATATCTTATATATACTTTATATATAAGCAGAGAGTATACCTATTAGATAAGAGAGAGATACTTATATAACATATATACTAAGAGAGAGAGAGTATATATATACATACCATACATACATTATACATATATAAGAGACGAGTATTCTTATATATACTATATATAAGAGAAAGTATACTTATATATACTTATACATAATATATATCTTATATAAGAGAGAGTATACTTATTTACTTATATACTAAGAGGGAGTATATATATACACACATATGACATATTTAATATATAGATAATATATTATATATCATATATTATATAATATATATTATATATATAAAAATATATTATATATACATATATTATACATATTATATATATTTATATATATATATTATACATATATATATAATACATATAAAAAATAAAATAAAAATTAAATTAATCGGGCCCGGGCGGGGCCGGGCACCAAAGAGCCGGCTCGGGCCGGCCCGAAACCCGGACTTGGCCCGGGTTTCCGGGCCGAGGTCGGCCGGGCGAGGTCGGGCCGGGCTCTGAGCCGGCGTGCTTTTTGGACACCCCTAACCTTCCCTAATGAGTTTCAAAATAACAACAACAACAATATATAATAATCCTATTTCAATCAAAGATACTCTATCCTCGTCTAACCATTTACACGACAGTTCATGTTTTTATTCATAAAATCCATATATTCAATGAATTTTGTGTGCACATGAGGTGAGGACCAAGAATGGTGAGGTGAATCTCACGTGTGAATTATAAGGATTTTTTATCCTCTCCACTAAAAAAAATAGTGAAGAGATCACTACTTTTAATTCTAATCGTTGATTATTTAATAGGTGATTATGATACAATCTAAATTTAACACTCCCCATAGCCTCGTAAACTACACCCATTCCTAGTTTGTACTTAAAGAAAAAAAATCACAATCACCAATTAGATAATTAACAGGTTATGATTATGTAGTGGTCTCTCCATTGTTTTTTTTTTAACAGTGAAGAGGATCCAAATCCAATTATAATTTAATTATTCAACATAACTTGAGAATGTTGTTTGCGTCGAAAATTGATGTATTCATTGCGGTATTCATTACAACTTCAATCGTTACAATGAAAACAAAAAAAGATTGTCTTTTTATAAGACTTTTACACAATGAAAACAAAAGTTTACAACTCTCGTCAAAACAAACGCAGAGGACGTTTATCACCCGCTGCTTTGCGTGGGATCTTTGCCTGTGCCGGGGTTTATCCGTGGACCGCCTTAGATCTGGATGCGGTTGATGGAAAATTCGGCAGAGTTTCGTCTTCGCCGAGGAAGTATTTGATTTGAAGCGCTGAGATCGACCAAGCAAAATCAGGGCTCTTCTCGAGATTAAGACCAAGCCTAATCTCAAGGGACGGATGGGAACGGGCGTCGGATCTCTCGAACTCTCCTTCTTTATGCCGAAGAACTCGCCAAGATCTGTCAACCCTCACTGAAATTCGTGCTCCTTTGACTACACAATCCGGCAGCACCTCCTCGTCTTGATAATCAATCGCCCCCGCTGAAAGGAGGCCCTAGGCTTGTATTTATAGGCCTTCAGAAGCGGTTATTTGGATGAGAACAAGTGATTTGGCTCTATCTTCAGTTGACAACAGAGAAACTTAGAATTTAAACATGCATATCATGTTAGGATGTAAGTGGCAAGGTTTTAAAAACATGGTTAATCAGATTATGCGACAACTGATCGGATTACGCGAAATTGCACATGTGTGAATTTTTAATATATATATAAATATTCATGAATAATAGTTGACAAAATTCAGACCTCTAGAGGTTTCAATATAAACTCAAACTTGAGTTCCTCTAGGGGGTCTACCCAAACAAACACAATCTGATCGTATACCAACAAAGAATGAATTCAAACCCTAAAAGCGTCTAGGGCGAATCTACAGCTACAAATTGAACCAGGACAGAAGTTAACAAAGAGGGAAGCAGAGTACCTTTTGAGAGAAGCAACGACGGAGATTGGAACAGAGCTCGACGGCGGCGGGGGACTTGGAATCTAGTCGGCAGAGGCGCTGACGGTGGCGTCGGCGGCGGTGCCAAAAGAGGCGGCGGTGCCAAAAGAGGCGGCGGGGGGGGGTTTCTAGGGTTTATGCAAAGTATTTGCTAGTATTGTTGCGATGGTAGTCCCTGTTGACTCCCTCACACCTTTAATATTATTAAATTAGACCCTTGAATCATTGAATTTACAAATTAGGATACTTCGGAGGATGTAGTAGCAATTTAAATGATTTGAGTGACTAATTTCGAATGGCTTAATTGCACTTAAATATCGTCTAGTTTTCTCTATTTTGCACTTATATACCCTCACTTGTTTGTGTCAGCACTTATATACTCTTAATGGAGTTTTCAAAACTTGCACTTATAAACACTCACTCGTTTTAGCGTTGCTTATATATCCTAATTTTTGCTTGTTAGGGTAGATCTAGGTTTGTTGAGAGTTTAGTGTAAGTTATTAGGGTTGAGTATAATTTGTTGTTTTTTAATGCTGAGGATTTTCTGTAAATTTAGACTTAACATAAATCAAATTGGACTTAACTAGAAATTAGACTTAAAATAATGATGGATAATCTAATAATGCATATAGATTTTTGGCAAAACTTTGTTGTAGGCCCCTTATGTGCTAGCCAAAGTATCGTTTCGGATCATTAATATTTAGAAATCATCAACCACACAGTCATTAATATTATCATTGTCATCAATCTATGTTCTTTTTTGCAAACTTCTGTAAAATATTGTTGACGAGATCACGTGGCTGACACGTTAGCAAAAATTAGTTGTAAGTTTCATACAAACGTGTATGTTGAACTTGTGATTTCACTAATTTTTTTGCTAAACATGACAGTGCCAGATCATTGTCACGTCAACAAAATCTGATGACGAATGTAATATTAAGAACAAAAATGCCTCAGGGACCCCAAATAAGGGAAACAGGGGGCAGGTGAGGTGTCCCCCTCTAAATGCATGAACAGTGCATCATGCATTCCGAGGGGGACACCTCACATGTCCCCCCTTGGGTTCCCTATTTGGGGTCCATATAGCAGCACCCTATTAAGAATCACCACAGTTAACTTTTATCAAATATTAAAAACGCTAAGGTACCGTTTGGCAAAGGGTTAAGTGAGGGGTTAAGGAGACTTAACCCCTTCTTAACCCGCCGAACATAAAAAATCTATACAATGGTTAAAGTGAGTTAACCCTCCATAATTTGCCAAACATAAAAAATATAGAAGGGTTAAGCTAACCCCTTTAGATGGATTATAATGAGTTAACCCCTCAAAATGAGGAGTTTACTAATATCCTATTTAGAAGGATTAAGAGTTAACCCTTCTAATTATAAAGAAAATAGTCAAAATCATTGTTATTCCCAAACACTAAAACTGATCACAATGACTAAAATAAAACTTATATAACGGGTTAATAATTTAGTCCTTCGGATTATCGAATTGGCTAACTATGTTAATCCTTTTCCTTAATCCCTTTTCATTAACCATTTGCCAAACGGAGCCTAATAGTATTTGGGTGGTACGTTCGGTTATAAGTGAAAGAAACTTTACTTGTAGTAATAATCAGGTTGTTTTTGGTACGTCAGCTTGCTTACTGCAAAACAAATAGCTCATTTTTCTTTTCTTTTTTTTCTTTTTTTTTCTCTTTTTTTCATTTCTCAAAACTCTTGATACTTATCATAATAATATTTGCATGAGATCCCAAGCTATAGGCACTGTTTCTGAGAAAAGAACAGAATATTAAGCTGATGAAACTTAAGTTAATTCAGGTACTAATGAGCAAAACTTGATATAACAGCTATCACGAAATTCAACAGAACAATAAACTTTTTACTGTCAACAGGTTTTCCCAAATATTTTACCCTTCGAGTTCGAAGCAAACTATACTCTTTTGAGGCACATTAGAGAAAGAACTAGAGTGATTTTTGTTTCTGCATATTTAGATGTTGCTTTTGCATATTTTGATGTAATTAGAGAAGCAACTGTATTTTTCGGATCTGGATTCTCTCTACTTATGTGATAATTAAAGAGGGTCTAATTCTCTCAATTCTTATAGATGAGATCACGGCAGGTAAAATTTACACCGGATATTGATAGTTGTACTAGTAGTTTCAAGACCATACGGATGTTAAAGATTGAGAGAGTAGAACAGGACAACAACTAGCTGCATCTAAATATGTGAAAAACAAGAAATCTATGTTGTGAACAAAAAGAGAACATAACTAAGGCAGAATCGTGCCACCAATACCAGTATATATACCACACACAGGTTTGTTGATATTTACAGATTCAAGTACCCAGATACTTTATTTCAAAAGGAAAGAACACATGAATATTGTTCAAATCGCATAAACAGGAATTACTATTGCAGCCTGCGGAAGGGGTAGCAACCAAAAATCAATATAAATATTAGTGTCGAGGTAAACAAACTTCAAGTATTTCAGATGAAAACAAACTATCAAGGAGACGATTGACAGTAGGGGGGATAAATCCAATAATCAAATCCCCCGACTTACAATATAACAGCCGAAGCATTTTTTGGATTTTCCTTTGATTTTTTCTTCAATTTTTCTTGGATCTGGATCAAGAAATTTTTTCCGATTCTGGATCTGGTTTTGAAAATAAAAATCGAAGAATTTTTTGGGTTTGGCGGCGGCGGTTTCGAATATTAAGGAGGTGGTTACCTCAAATTTTGGCGAAGCGGTTTACCTCAAACGAACCTCGCATTCGTTCAATTTTAACCGAGCTTCGCGCTCAACGAACCTCGCGTTCGTTCTAAGGTGAACCTCGCGTTCAACTCAGGTGAGCGTCAAGCTCAATTTTAACGAACCTCGCGTTCTTTCTAAGGTGAACCTCGCGTTCAACTCAGGTGAGCGTCAAGCTCAATTTTTTACGAACCTCGCATTCGTACTTCAGACGAACCTCGCGTTCGAACTTCAGACGAACCTCGCGTTCGTACTTCAGACGAACCTCGCGTTCGTACTTCAGACGAACCTCGCGTTCGTACTTCAGACGAACCTCGCGTTCGTACTTCAGACGAACCTCGCGTTCGTACTTCAGACGAACCTCGCGTTCGTACTTCAGACGAACCTCGCGTTCGTACTTCAGACGAACCTCGCGTTCGTACTTCAGACGAACCTCGCGTTCGTACTTCAGACGAACCTCGCGTTCGTACTTCAGACGAACCTCGCGTTCGTACTTCAGACGAACCTCGCGTTCGTACTTCAGACGAACCTCGCGTTCGTACTTCAGACGAACCTCGCGTTCGTACTTCAGACGAACCTCGCGTTCGTACTTCAGACGAACCTCGCGTTCGTACTTCAGACGAACCTCGCGTTCGTACTTCAGACGAACCTCGCGTTCGTACTTCAGACGAACTAATTTAAATCTAATTTGGTTTTTTAATCAATTATTTAATTCAAATATTATGACACTAAGGTATTAAGGTTGTCTCTCACTCCAATTGATTAATTGAAACAAGAAGTTGCCAAAGTAACCTCTCTTGTATAGATTGTTCATGAGGAATGTGAGATGTTTGTGTGTATGCTTTCGTGTAAATATTTATTCGGCCTAAAGGAAGGTTAATATTTATTTAGATTATATACACATCTGCGATGATAAGCGTGTGATAATTATAAGGTTTACATGTGAATAATGAATCGATCCA